GAGACAAAGAACTCTTGGATGTTTATCAGATCGTTAAACTTTTACAGTTGGAAAGGCAAAATGTGATGGCAGCACAGACTCTACGAGCGGCTCTCTCAAAAGCGGAGAGTTCGCATCCTGGAATTACTTATGACTTGATCATGGGTATAATACGTAGAGCAGAGTTGAATCTTGACATGAACGAAAGTGTCTTACGGTTGCAGGGCGCTGCTTCTGATTATGATGGTATCTTTATATATCTTTATATAAATATCTTTTTATAAAAATTGTAATTACCTGCATTTAACATTAATGACACTTATACTACTTCTAATTGCATCTGATTTAATTTATCAACTCAAGATTTGAAATATAATGATACATTTGATGCATGATAATACATTTGATATAATAATACATTTTATTTCTGATTACAGTTGTGGAGTACCGTTCAGCACGTTCAGAAGATGCATTTCAAGAATTGAATCGTAAATCAACCTCCTTGAAAAGAATACTTAGCAGGATTCCTGATGAGATAACAGACAGAAAGACCTTTTTAGAAACAATCAAGTTTGTATCTATATAAATATTTAGTATCTATAATCTTACCCGACAATACAATATCTAAAAACCAGGAAAATGTATGTCTTATGATTTAATTTTAGAGATTGTGTTGTCTGAGTATATATGTAGAGTATTCTATATCTCTCTCAATTATTCTTCCTTTCAGAGAAATTGCCAGTGCAATAAAGAAACTCTTAGATGCTGTAAATGAGGTTACCGCATTTATACCTGGTTCAGCTGGTAAACAAGCTTTAGATCAACGTAAGAGAGAATTCGTGAAATATAGTAAAAGATTCAGCAATACATTAAAGGAATACTTCAAAGAAGGACAGTAAGTATATAAATTATCCAAAAATGACCAATTAAAACAAAATTAATATGCGGCAAAATTAAAAAATTTAATTAATTAATTCACATTATCGAATTTATCGAATAATACATATTTTTTCAACTACTGAAAGTCTTCTGTGCTAAGAACTTGAATTAGTTTTGTAGAATTAAAAGAATATTTGAATCTAAAAGATTTTCAATAACAAATGTTCTGCTGACCATCTATATTTTTATCCCAAAATAATGAAATATATATTTTTTGTAGAGCAAACGCAGTATTTGTGAGCGCACTGTACCTGATACACCAAACAAATATGATTATGCTCACAGTAAAGGACAAATGTGAGTAAAGAATTTTCAATGAATTTCCAGCGTTGTATGTAATAATATCACGAGAGTCAGATAAACCATAAATATTGTACAACATCCTAATCTCACATATATTCTATTATACAAGCAATGATAAAACCTATGAATATTCGATATAAAGGATTTAACATCATTACGTTCTCGTTAACCGACTATGCACTATAGTTTTTGTTATATATATATAGATATATATAAAATAAAGATGTTGGGGTATATTATTCCAAATTATATATATTTATACTTTTATTTTGTGCCAACTCAAATGTCATATTAATCGTCAATTCTCATTGTAATGGTCAATAATAATATATAAGAAAATGTTCTGATGTGAACAATTTTATTGTTCATAAAAAGAATATATCATATATATGCATTTTCTCTTATCTTTTTATAACTCTAAAGAGTAAAATATTAGTAAAACATATGTCTTGAAGTAACATTAAAATTTGTAATATATATTTAAATATGTATAAGAGTGAAAAATACATCTGGAAATTGAATTTTATTCCTTTTAAACAATTTCTGTAAAAGTGTGTTTATACTCTTTAGAATAAAATAAAGGCGGAATGGTGGAAAACATAATGGGAGGAATTATTCCTCCAAATATACAAGAAATAAAAATTACTTTATTGATAACAAATGTACACAAATTTGTCGTATTTCCTATATGGAAAATTGTGAATGGCTTGCCTATCTACATCCTCATCACATTAACAATGACGATGAATAACAGTAAGAATTAATGGTAATTATCATAATGAACATGTTACTGCAAAATGTACAAAACTTCAAGCCCGCTTGCTGTCGGAGAATACACGTACGATGCAACCAACACCGCTTATGTTAAATACTTTTTCATGCCAAAGTAATAAGTGACTACTGCTACCTTCCGTTGGAATTTCGAAACCTCGGTAAATATACTTCATTAGAACATCTACTAAGTCACGATCTAATTGTGCTAAGCAATCGTCCATTTGATTTGATTTTATACTTAGAAGCACTTTTTGTGTTAAGTTTCGAGCACTGTCCTGCAAATAGATAAAAAAATACATTTTACATAGTTTCATATATCTAGTAAAACAAATATAAGTTATTTAATAGAGATCATTGTAAGTTAGAGAGATTCACACTGGCCCAATCAAACTTCATGTAATGTTCATGTAAACTGTATGTTCTATATTGACTCTATATTTAAATTTGCAAGCGGTTCTCCTAGAATTATACATAAATTATAAAATTATATAAAAAAAATCGCAAAGCAATTTTTATTTATAAACAAAAAGTATTATGATCTTTAAAACGTTTGAAATTCTTTCAAATCCATATCAAAATTAACAGTGTTTCATGAATAATCATAATATAATTTTCAGAATCGCGATGCTATTTCGCACTTAGCAAATCGCAAAATCCGCACATTTGTGACAAAATCGCCGTCATGTATTTTAGAGGTTACCTTGACTTGCTGATTCTTACACTCCAACGGTGCAGATTTTAATACTGATATCAGCGCCTCCGCGTTCTTACCCTTGATTAAATGTTAAGGAAAATCGCCTAGAGATAAAACGGCTGAAAAGCAACGGCTCTAAAGAACGAGTTTTCCAAAAGGATATTGGCTAAGAAGTGTCAAAATCTCTGTCTCGTCCGGACCGGTGAGCGCACCTACGCCGCCGTCAGCATCCTCCTCTTTGAAATTGTTGTCGCTGTACTGGTCCACATCAATCTTGCGGAACGCGGATGCCGAGGTGTCCTTCTTGCCGTCGTTCCTTGACATCTCGGCTGCGTGCTCGAACGTTTCTTCGTCGTTCTACGCCCGGCCTTATCGAACAGCGACGATGTCTTACCTACCGTACGTTCGTAACGGTACGGCGCCCGCCACTCTTATTCTCATTATTTCTTCTCTCTCTCTCTCTCTCTCTCTCTCTCTCTCTCTTCCTTCTCATTTATTCTTTATCCTTTTTATTCCTCACGATTATTTCTATTAACATAGATTAACTTTAATCTTAATTTAACTGGCTTTTTATTTTTTTAAATTTTAATATTCACTTTTATTCAATACATTAATTCAATCTTGACTTAAATTACTCTTTATCCTTTAATTTATCTAATTTTATCTAATTTTTAGAGTTAAAAAAAAATAAACACAAGTTACTGAGATTACGTTGACGAGATTGAGAGATAAAGTCTATTCTTTTTTAGATTCTTTTTCTTGCATGATTTATATTTTCTCTTTTTCTCTCCACGTAGAAGAAAGAAAGAGAAAAAATGAACGATGCAAGAAGTTCGATCAAAAAGAACAAACTTAAAGTTTATTCATACAAATTCACGTATCAATGTGAACAAAGTCACCGCGGAAAAGCAACCAATCATTCGATACAGAATTTCATCCTTTGCATTATGCGACGTAGGATTGGTCAGTTTGATTTTGTAGAATTCGGCTAAATAAATTTTTGCATAGATCGTGAAGTTCTATCAAATCGAAATTTTCAATATTACGATCGAGGATCATTTTCATATCGACTGATACGCTCTAATCACTCGTATGACGTACGTTGCTTTTATCGCTCTCGATCGTCCGAGGAACAAGTATTTTACTGCGAAATCAATCAGGACTCGATGAATATCACGACATTGTTGAAATAAATATGGGTAATTGGTTGTTCGCAGGTTTGTGTCAAATTCCCGCAATTTATTTTCTTCTCAGTTCATTTTTAAAAAAATCTGAAATATTTTACACGTGTCGACACTATTAAAATTTGATCTCGATTAATGCAATTTATGAAACATAACGACAGTAATCAACATTAATATTGAATTATCAAGGCTTATCAGGGTCAAGATAAATTCAAATGTAAAGCTACAAATAAAAATGGAATATTCACGCGAATGCGCATTTATGATCCCACTGCCCCTCTAATCCTCGTTACAGGCCTTTCGGTTTTTCTCCCTCCATCCCTCGGCCGTACTATAAAGTACTCGATATAGAGCGAAAAGGAGTCACATCTTTCTCTCTTGCTGCGTTATATACGCTCGCGATTTTTACGGAATTGTTACACAGTTGCGCAAATTTGTTCCAGGCCGTCCAAAAAGGCGACAGGACATGACGAGCCCAGTCGTGATCGCAGCTACAGCTAAGCACACGGCGACGGTAGGATATCAAATCATCTTGCGGGCGTAGCGGCGGTTTTTGGTTATACCACTAGCGGTATCAGTGCAATTCTAATTCAATCATAAGTGAATTACGTTCGTAATACGAGATATTATATTCTCGTTGCGCTTTTTTTCCATCTTCGATGCAGATTGTTTTTGTCGCCGATTTCTTTTTTTTTCCCTCGATTATTGTACGTTCCCCGCGAGACAATTGTCATCTCGGTGAGAATGATCAATCGCAGCTTCCCTGGTAATAAAACGCTATCGTCGGTCTTCCATACCGTTTGAGATCGTTTTCCACTGAAAGTGACTTATTTTATTGGCGAGTTCAAAAAATCTAAAATCTGATATTTAGAAAAAAATATCTGAATAAGGTCAATATATCTTATTTTGTATTAAGAAACGTCTTAATATTTTCTTAATATTTTATGTCTGTTTTCAGTTAATATTTTTCCATGGCTTGGGTGACACGGGGTGAGTTCATATTTTAGCATATAAATGCAGTCTGTAACATTTTGCTGTAAAATGATAGATATTAATACATGTTGTATTTATACATGTTTCAGGCATGGCTGGGCCAGTTCTATGGGTGCAGTACGGTCTCCTCATGTCAAAGTTATTTGCCCTACTGCGTATGTTATCAATATCTTTAGATATTCTATAATTGAAACTAAATTGATAATTGTTAATGGTATTTTAATATATGATTTATTGATTGTTTTAGGCCCACAATGCCGGTAACATTTAATGCAGGGTTCAGAATGCCTTCTTGGTAATTTTATGACGGACATATAGATATCTAATTTTCAATAGAAATTATTGCAAAATGATATTTATGCAAAATTATTAATATATTCTGCAAATCTAGGTTTGATCTACGTTCTTTGGACTCCAGTGGTCCAGAAGATGAAGAAGGTATACGTAAGGCTGCTGAAACAGTTCACTCATTAATAGCAGAGGAGGTTGCGGCTGGGATACCAACTACACGCATTGTTCTTGGAGGATTCAGTCAAGGTGGAGCACTAGCTATGTACAGTGCTCTTACATTCCCAGAACCTCTAGCTGGCATTGTAGCTTTATCCGCATGGCTTCCTCTACATCAAAAATTCCCAGCAGTGAGTATTGCATACATAAATATTTAACAGAATAATTGTAATACCAAATTTTTTTTTCAGGAAGCAATAGGTAATAGAAATACTCCATTGCTGCAATGTCACGGTGACTGCGATCCGATTGTGCCATATAGATGGGGTCAAATGACCGCATCTCTTTTAAAACAGTTCATGACACAGACAGAATTCAAAACGTACCGAGGAATGATGCATACATCTTCCGAAGAGGTAAGAAAACTCTTAGAAAAAAATTTTATCAAATCTTTCATGTTCTGAAGAAAATCACAATGTCTATCTTTTATTATTTTTACAGGAAATGCGAGACATAAAGAAATTCATTGAAAAGGTTCTGAAGCCGTAATAGATTGAATTGAACGTGCATCGATATTTTATCGGCTACGTCAAGCATCTACTTGTACATTATATTGAAATGATTCCAATTTTGCGATTATTTAGTTTTAGTAAATTATACGAACTCTTTAAAAAGGAGTTAAGTAGGAAAATCTTCCAAGATATTGAGATGCAGTGCTATATAGGAAAAAATACATTTTTTAGAAGAATATATTTATTTACAATCTTTATATAATTTGTATCTGTGTATCCAAACTTTTCGATATTTTAATGTATCAAAGCATTTCATATAGCGATACTACAAATTAATTCGTACAGTTCTCAATTCTTCTTTAGTATATATCTATAAATTGGTATTTCTCGTTTCTTCTAATCTTTAATGTCTCTACGAGTATATATACATATACGTATAAATATACATATATTTATACATATGTATATACAAATATGTATATACAAATATTAACCCATATTATATTTATTTGCAAAGTTATATTGGTGTAGCGATATATTGTTCAAAAATAACACAAAGTGATGTTTATTCGTTTTTGTGATTTAAGTCTGCGACAATAGTAAATTTACAAGTAAATTTATGTCAAAGATACTGTTAAAATACTATTAAGTCATGCTAAATGAAGAGCTTTCTGCAGTTCTTCCATTGACAAAACTTCCAATCTTTTTGCGCCTACATTGCGTTTCGGATAATTCTTGTTTAACTAACAAACAAAAACGTCCATGAAGCACTTAAGTAATTCGCGCGTTCGAGCAGCTACGAACCTTTTAAAATTTCTATTTCATTTAGACCCGCGCTATAACATAAAATGTTGCCGCTAATGAATCACTTGTAGCGGATATTGTCTAGAAGACAGTGACACGGCCATGTAATCTGTGATTACGCATTATACTGTCGAAATCCACCAGTCCATCACTTAGTAACAGTATAACATGGATCAGGGTTTCCTAAACTCTTCTACATCTGATTTCATGTGGATCCTTTGAGGAGAAATATACGAATTCTTTAAGAATAATACAATCATACGATTCACAAACATGCACAGCTTTATTAAAAATGCACGAAGTAATATTACCTTTCTATAACACATTCTCAGTTATCTCTACATAATAATAAAAAAAATCGTTCTAAAAATAAAATATTAGTCTTTATGTACTTCAAGTTTGGGAAATCCTGTGATACTGTATATCATGAAAAAACAGTAGATACAGTATTAATATTGTAAAATTATATTAAAATGTATATATAAAATTATATGACACTCTGGGCTGATTTTATTATTGAGTATTAATATATTATCCAGTAGACAAATGATGAGTAAAAAAAGAACAATAAACTCCAAGTATTTTTCAAGCGTTTTCTTTACAAATACATTTTGTAGCTAGCAACAGATAGGACATTTAGCTCATAAGTTATATAACAACTTTTGCCAGTATGAATAAAACGTAAACAAGATAAATGTTTATTGATTGCATAAGTAGTTTTATTACTGATATCTGAATATAATGTCCAAAGTACATTTTCAATAATTGTTTCGGCGATATGAGTAAGCTATTTTTCTTTTTTCAAAGTTATGTCGGACGATCTGTAATCCACGGCATCATATTAAAAACCTATTAGTAATAATTTATAAAATATATAAACCGATATTTTAGAAAATTATCGATAATTATTTATTTATGAAGTATATAAGTGTTTGATTTTTTCTTTTATTATATTATTATTTTTAACAAAGGAATAAATCGTGACAAAACGAGGTTATACGGGAGCAAATCTTTGAATTTGCTAATATGACACATGCAAATTCATTTATTTTGAGTACTTTAAACAATGGAATTCAAAAAGTGGTGCTTAATAAACCGGCGAAAAAGAATGCGCTTTCGCCTCAAGTAAATATATATTTATACATTATTATACATTACATGTATATACATAATGTAATATAAAAATGTAAATAACTATATGTTGAATTTCTGTTTACTTGTCACAGATGTGTAAGGAATTGATAACACTTCTAAATGAATCTGTTGCGAACAACGATGTATTAATATTTGTATTAACAGCAAATGGAGATTTTTTTAGCAGTGGCAATGATATAACTGCCTCAATGCAAAATAGTGCGATTGCTATTGGTACAATCAAGTAAGCACAATGAAAGCTAAGTTTTCGGATATTTATAATTTCTAAAATCGATAAATATTTTGCAGAGAATTAATCGATACTATAATTACATACCCAAAACTTTTAATAGCTGTTGTAAATGGACCAGCGTTAGGAATAGCAACTACAATATTGGGAATTTTTGATATAGTTTATGCTTCAAATAAGGTATTTTAAATTAGGTTCAATAATTTCTCAATGGTTTTAATATATTATATAAATTATAGGCATATTTTTATACACCCTTTAGTGCTTTGGGTCTTGTTGCCGAAGGATGTTCTTCATATACGTTCCCAAAATTATTGGGACATTCTAAAGTATGTTTCATTAAAAAATATGTGTAAATGATCACTAAGATTTATATTTAGATTATTCATTTTATAATCATAAAAGATTTCAATATATAGATTTCGATATATAGATTTCGATATTATGCCACCTCATATTAAAAATATATATTTATGTGTATTTAGGCTGGAGACATGTTATATTTGGGATATAAGATGAGTGCTCAAGAAGCTAAACAACATGGTTTTGTCAGCGAAGTATATAATCATGATTCTCTTGAAGAAGTATGGAATTATTTGAACAAGATAGCTACACTTTCTCCAGAGGTATTACTTAATATTTTTCGAGAGATTTCGCGAAATTAATTTCTTTCTTCATACATTTACATAGCTAAACCAGTATCATAATAATAAACCTGATTAATTTTAGTCAATATTGGCGACTAAACGATTGATGCGTAAATGGAATAAGGAGATATTATTAAAAGTTAATGAGGAAGAAATAAACGAAGTGATAAAACGATTTGAGTCTAATGACTTATATGAAAGGACGTTGAATTTCTTATCACGGAAAAATAAGCTTTAAAATAACAATATGAAATATTTTATATTATTTTTTAAATAAATTACAGATATTGACATTTGATATGTATTTTAAAATGTATATAAAATGTTTATGAAATGTATGTATAATGGAATATATTTTTAAATATCACAATGTATGATTATATAATTCTTTATTACTTAATCAATTTATTGCATTGTAGAATTTTTAAATATAAATGTTATATTATCTTTTGCCTCTGTTAACATAATGTCCTATAAATTAAAATATAGATTTTGAATCTTTAACCATTAGTTACCATTATCAAATTACAAACAATTTATTACCTGTAAAATGTCAGATGGAATAGGTTGCTTATAATGTTGCCAATCTTGAAGCTGATTTATAGTTAAATTTTTATGAGATTTGTTATACAGCATAAATTGACAATCGCGCGTCTCATTACTTTTCAATTTTTTCTCATTACTTTTCACTTCTTTCAATTTTTCCAAAGATTCATTACTGTCGAAACAAGAACAATTCATCAAATCATGTGTTAATGAGATTGTATCATTTGCCAATGTAAATAAATTCTGAAAAATGAAAAATATTCTCAGTTTTCGTAAATTAAAATATTTCTATTAAAAAATACCTTTAGTTCTTCAGCTGATAATTTTAGAGATCCAAGATGATTCAAATCCATCACAGCCTCACTCAGATTAGCTTTACTAATTTGTCTTTGATATATCTTTTCTTCTATTGTACCTGTAGTCAATAATCTACAAATTTTTGATCATACAGTCATGTTTTTCCATTAAATAGTATATTTTTATAATTTTTATGATATTTATACAAACCTATAGATATAAACATCTCTCTTCTGCCCATCTCTCCAAATCCTTGACATTGCTTGTATATCAGATGCAGGATTCCAATCAGAATCAAATAATACAAGTCTAGATGCTCCAGGTAAATTCAGACCAACACCACCCGCCTTTGCACTTAACAAAAGAACTCCTGCAATTTTTATATTTTTCAATAATAAATTAATTTTTATTTATAAAATAGACTATAATTTTTGTAAAACTTACTGCTATTATCAGTTCGTGTATTAAATTTTTCAGTAATTTTTGATCGTGCAGAACTTGAAGTAGCGCCGTCTAATCTTAAGAATTTTAATCTTTCTATATTGCATATAGTCTCAAGAAGATCAAGCGTTTGTGTGTAATAAGAGACTAACACTAACTTTTCATCAGTCTTTTTCAAATTTCTCATTAGTATCTGTAGAATTGTGACTTTCCCGCAATACTTGGTAAAATTTTCGTCATATTTCATCTGTGATATACATGATGTCTTTAACAAAGCATTATATAATGTGTTTTCTTTATTATTTAAGAACAGGTTTGGATGATTACAAATTTTTTTTAGAGCAGTAATGATAGTCAAATGTATATTACTTTTGTCTTCTATACAAATTTTGTTGAACCAAACATCAGTCACAAGAGAATACAAATCTTTTTGCTTGTCAGATAAAGAACAGAATAAGACTATTTCATATTTATGCGGCAGATATTTATTTATCGTTCTTTGTGTACGGCGCAAAATAAAAGATTTGGTGCGTTCGTATAATTCCGTAGATCTTTGAGTTCCCAAACTGACAACATCATCATTAGCATAAGGGCACTGAGAAGCGACAATAGGATTCTCATAATAATTCTTGTATTCAGCAGAAGTGCCAAGAATGCCAGGATTAACTAAATCGATCAGCACATAAAATTCCTTCAGATCATTCTGTATAGGAGTGCCCGTTAAGATAATTCGTTTTTTACAATTAATCTCACGTAACAGCTACAAAATATGTAAAATATATACTTTTTTATGCATTTATATTTATGTGAGAATTAGTAATGTAAACTAGAGAAATAATTACTTTTGCTGCTTTTACATTGCTATTTTTCAATCTATGGCCTTCATCGCACACAATCAAATCGAAAGCGATTTCATCAATCTCTATATGACATTTGATGAACATTTCATAACTAATAATCATTACTGAATTCCTCGGATATTTGATAAAATCCTTGGGTCTATTTTTTCCATTCACAATATAAAGAAATATCCTATGGGAACCCAACCATTTCACAAATTCTTTTTCCCAGTTGCTGCACAAGCTACTAGGTGTTATTATTAACACACGTTTCACAATCGGTCTTCCATATGGGCCTTTTTTCAACATCGTCCAAATTAACGTAATGCATTGTAAAGTTTTACCGAGGCCCATTTCATCGGCCAAAATTGCACCAAAGTGATCTGGCACTTTTAATCCCATTAAGCATTCATAAAGAAACACTATTCCATAACGCTGATGTTCTCGAAGCTTTGTCACTAAACAAGAATCCACTGAGACTTCATGCTCCTCTTGACTTATCAATTCAGCAGAATTCAAATAAGGCATCACTAAAGGCTCGGTATTCAATGCTAATTTTTTAGTATAAATATTCAATTTATTTAAATAAATAAATTTAATCAATTAATATAATTAATTTTTACTTATTATAAATTTGTAAGACCTTTTGCAGATGATTGCAACGACGTAAATGCTTGTGCAATAGATACTTTAACTTTCTTTCTTGATTCCTCTACCATTTTCTCGATATTATTCTCTGGTACATATTGTTCTTGGGATAACTGATTTATAATCTAAAAATAGGTTTATTAAATTTTTTCATATGTACTGTATAAATAAATATTAGTTCACACTCTTACCTCTATTTGTTTGTTTCCTATAATTAATTTAAAGCCTTCTGCTACAGTGCTTGAATTGATTATAGTTCTTCCCATAATGTTACCATCCAAGTCCTATTATATCAATTGTTAATTCAAATTAGAAAATTGACAATTGATGTAATAGTTACCTTAAGAATTCCGCTTTTTCCAGTAACTTCTAGCAAACCATCGCCATCCCATGTTTTGTGCTTCTTCGAAGATATTTTGCCATACATCACATTGAATATACTACATTAAGAATAAACTATATTGAATATACTACATTATTTATTTATTAAGAGATCAAATTCAATCTTCTAATATTATTTTTAAAATAATTACGTTTTTATCTTTGTCTCAGGTGAATTGGTTGATTTTTCTTCCTTGTACAATTCAGCATTGTTATCTTCTTTTGCAAGTCTAGTAAATGTTTTAAAATTTTTTTGTAGTGGTTCTTCTATTGCCTCGGAATTTTTGTCTAATATAAACAAATCTTGCATCTGATCTATAATCTAAAATTAACTTTGCTATATTTTCTGCAGATAATATTCTGTAAATAAATATTAATGCAAATTCTCACTTCAATTTGTTTGTTTCCTATAATTAATTTAGAACCTTTCATCACATTATTAGGATTAATTGTAATTTTTCCTATAATATTGTCATCCAAATCCTAAAATATATAAAAAACATTCTTCTTCATTCATTTCAGAGACAATCTCTGAGATTATTTAATGATTTATTAATCAAAATATTTAATAATTAAAATTTTATAGTGAATGTCTGGAGTCACCTTAAGAATCGCACTTTTGCCAATTATTTCTAAGAAACCATCATCATCCCATGTTTTATGTTTCTTTGAAGATACTTTACCATATATCACATTGAATATGCTGTATTAATATTTATTAATAATGAAAAAGATTAAATTCAATATTCTAATATTATTTTTAAAATTAAATTTAATTTAATTTAATTAAAATAGTTACGTTTTTATTTTTGTCTCAGGTGAACTAGTTGATTCTTTTTTCTCGTACAATTCAGTGTTGTCATCTTTTGATACAAATCTAGTAGATGATTTGAATTTTTTTTGTAGTGGTTCCTCTATTATTTCTTTAGAATTTTTTTCTAATATAGGTAAATCTTGCAACATTTGATCTACAATCTAAAATTAACTTTGCCATATTTTTTACAGACAGTATATAAATAAATATTAATGTAAATATTAATGTCTTACTTCAATTTGTTTATTTCCTATAATTAACTTAGAGCCTTCTGTCACATTGCTGAAATTGATCATAGTTCTTCCCATGGTATTGCCATCTAAATCCTATATAAGAAACATTTTTCTTCATTCATGTTATAAATAATTTTTAGGGCTATTTAATCATTTATTAATGAGAACATCTAATAATTAATTTAATAAATTTAATAATAAATTTATAATAAATTTATAATATTTATAATAAATATGCCTTAATCACCTTAAGAATTGCATTCTTGCCAATTATCTCTAAAAAACCATCTCCGTCCCATATTTTGTGTTTTTTCGAAGTTATTTTGCCATATACTACATTAAAAGTACTAGAAGAGATATTTATTTGTAGCAAGTAAAATCGATATTTTGTTTTTATTGTTAAAATACTTACATTTTTTGCTGTCGTTTCGGACAAGTCAGCAGATGTATTTTGGCATACTGAAACACTGGCTTCTCGTTTTCTCGATAAATCGTTTTCCACCTGAAAATTATTGTGTCCGATCTCACTTTCTTGAGTTGCCTTCTCGAACAATTTCAAAATTTGTGAGTTACTTCGAAAAGGCTTGCTCACCAATTCACTTGTTACTTTTTCCTGACACTTAGATATCTCATTTTTACTTGTCTCTGACTGAACGATTAAAGGGGATACGAACCCTTTCACAGATCTGTTTCGATACATGAATAAATCAAGATCTTTTTTTTTTCTTAAAAGTTTTTGAAAGTAGAATTTATGGTCAATATCAAACGGAGTGAAATGAAATCAACACGTCCAGCAAATCCAATGAAACTCGACAACCGAGATTCACTCGAAGGCGCGAAACTGAATGAACCAAATCTCGAATTCGGCGTCATGATGGTTGATCAATATTACCAACAAAATACGAAAACCGTTCTTTTTAACTAAACGTTTTGCACGCTTCGTCTTTCTTTTTTTTTCTTTCCATTGGAGAAAAGAAGAGAAAAGGTAAACTATACAAGTTCAGCTAAAAAGAACAGGTTTTCCAATTTATTGGTAATTCTCGAAAGTTGGCAAAAAGTTGAGAAAAACTAGGTGAAGACTAGATGGGTAAAACTAGATGGGTACCAGATGGAAAAAACTAGATGGGACGTAGATGGGAGAAACTATATGCGGGCTAAATGGGCCAGATGGGAAAAACTAGCTAGTTGTTAGATGGGAGAAACCAGGTGATGGGAAAAAGTAGCTAGTGACTGGCTGGTAAAAATTATTTAGTGGCTTTACTTCGCATAAATCTAAGCAGCGGTACGATCACCCCGACCTTTTATGGGTAGAGTTTACAATTGGCGTGCAAGGTAATTCAAAAAC